TCAAACCACATTATTTTAAATTCCTCCTCTACCCCACCAGGGCTTACTCTCTCCCTTAGCTTAGCCAAGCTCTCTGCTGTCCTCCCAAATGACCCCCAAATTCGGTTCATTACCAAAACGAACCCAAGAACAGAAAGGGGCACCCAAAGGAGTTCAGGATTCATCATCTTTAGCTCTCTGCTAAGAGCTAAAATTTTACTTTGTGTAATGCGTGAATGCTTTTTCCACTTAAGATAAATACATTTTCCCTTGAGTAAGATGAGTCGGTCTGATCAGACAAGGGCCTATTTCAACCTAGCATTTTCAGTCAACAGATTTTGATCTGAGAGGAGTAAGCTGTGTGATCACAGGACTGTGGAGGCCCCAGAAGGGGCCTCCTGCTACTGGGGATCATCTCAGCATCGTGTGGGGTGAAGCTGTGGAAGGTATTCTGCCAACTGTGCCTCCCTGCTTTGGGGCAACACCTTCGAATACCAAGGGCCCCGCCAGGATGAAAAAAGCAGCTCTACTTTAAACATAAATATTAACCAAAATTGCTCTAAATTCCAGGCGTGTCTGCAAGGGTGGCCTTCTTGGCCACTTCAGGTGTCACCAAGGGCAGCTCATGGAGTGGCCCAGGAGTCACTTACTAAGGCAGATTCCAGAAAGCATTGCCTCTTGAGAGAGGAAACACATTAAGGGTGCTCAAATGTCGGGTCAAGTGGTGGGAGCCTGGGTTTTCAACCTCTCCTGGCACCAGGATATCTATTCTGCCTTTTCTGGTATAGAGCATCCCTGGTGGTGGCTAGATGGTAGAGTGGATAGAGCATTAGACTTGAGTCAGGAAGACTTCAGTTCAAATCCTGCCTGAGATTCCTAGCTATAAGACCCTGGGCAAGTCACTGACTCTTTCTCACTCATTTTTCTTATCGGTAGAACATATTTTAACTGATTGTTTTTGTGAGGCCCAAAGGAGATAATATATTCAAAGTGTTTTGAAAACCTTAAGGTGCTACATAAATGTTAACTCACTGTTATCAATGGCCACGAGTGGCAGCCCGGTGGTCAGGTCTTTCAGTAGAGTCCAGGGGCCTTCTTCACAAGCCGGGTCACTGCCTCTCAGTAACAGGTTCTTATTTCCCCCACCCCCATCCCCACACAACCTACCACTGAAGGAGGGTTTTTCCCTCATTCATTCTAGCATGCCTTCCTATTGACCAGAGAGAATTTAAAAGTCACACACCCCATAGCACAGGCTCTTCCAAAAAATAAGTTTTTATTGTTTTGGCTGCAAATATATTAAAAAAAATGCATTGTAGTGTTGAATACAGCTGGTGGAAATGTGCTTTTGGATAGCAGAACAATGGAGGGGGTGATGGACGGCGCAGCAGGACTGCCTTCCATATAGAGACAAAGAGACGGAAAGGTTTACATTTTCTGAGGTTCTATCCCAAAACAAATTTGTTTACTGAAACGAAACCTGAAACACATAACGAACAAAACTCACAATAAAACCATTTATGCAACAAACTAAAGCCAGAAAAGTGACAGTATATCACACTGCAGTGCTACAATAAAAGCCACTGAATTCAGTTTTCCTTTTGCTGAAGATGGACTCAGAAATGTAAAAAAATCACCATCAATACCGGGAGGTCCTGGGAGCCTGATGGAGGAGGCTCTGGAATCACCACCCCAGGCCAGGAACCTGTCTCACTGCCAACAACTGTTGGTTCATCCTGGTTTATTAGCTGAATGCAAACTATTGGTATAGATGACCCAGGTTCAGATTCTGGGTCTGGCCCTTACTGTGTGACTATGCTAAGTCACTTAATTTCTCTGGGCCTCAGTTTCCCCAAATGTGAAATGAGGCTGGACCAGAAGGCCTCTGAGGCCCTTTTCAGTTCCAGAGCTATAATCTTAATATTGAAATATTTAAAACTCCAGCTTCTCCTCAGCCCCTCAAATCTTTCTTCCAGAGACACCTTAATCTCTACTTAAAAAAAAAACAAAAACCCAGAGAAGAATATTTCAAAATTTCTCACGCTCTGATTTCAGACTCCCTGATTCAAGAGAAAGATGGAATGAGGGAAGGAACTAAATGCTGTGTATGGTGACCATGAAGAGAGGTGAGAGTCCCACAAAAATAAAATCCCATTCAGGTAAACTACACATAAACAAAAAAGGAAACATTCAGGACAAAATTTTCCCTTTTTCCCCCCGAAGTTGATTTTCATAAGCACCAGCAAAAGTTCCATTTGGTAAGAGCTAGGAAGGCAGGCCCCTCCAAAGTCTGAGTCTCCCCTCTCCCCGAATCCTTCCCCCACCACAGGCCAGCTCTGAAGTGGCCTCAAGGCCATGGGCTTTGGGAACTCCTGGCCAGGACCCTAACACACTTCACATGGGCCACATGGCTTATTCATTACTTCAAATACACAGCCAGATTTCCTCTTCCATCCTTTGGGATAAGGCAAAAACCCTACCCGATTAACTGAATTATGAACCAATGCCACAGTGAAGATCCTTCACCTTCGAAAATCAGGCCGTGTCCCCAAAGTTTCCATTTCCTCATCTGTAGAAATAGGGATAATACTTACTGTGTCTTTCCTACAGGGCTACTGTGAGGATGAAATGAGATCATGGAGGTGAAGGTACTGGATTATTACATATACTGCTTTTCCCCACAGCCTTGCTGAAAGGCCCCCGGGGAAAGGAGCTCTAACAGAAAAGTGCAGCTGTTTTTTTGTACACACAAAGGAACCAAGAGCTTTTCAGGACTCTGAGCACTCAGATATCCTGCCACCCAAAGAGAGGTAGTTAATTAGCATCGCCCTCTTGTTTTGCCAGTGGTGTACATTCACAACGGGTGTTTTTTTAACCCACTTGTCTTGGTGGCAAATGAGATATCAAAGAACTGAGACCAGAAAGACCAGGAGTAGTGAAACTGACAGTTTTACAACTGTCTCATAGCCTGCTCTAGACCCAGAAAAGAATTTGGCTGACAAGGGAATGGGTCTACAAATACCAATCTGTCTTTTTGACTTTCCAGATATAGAGCTGGGCTTTAGTCACATGGAAGAAGTCTGGCTGGATCAAGGTAACACCCAAAGGCAGGAGATTAAACACAAGTCTGGAATCCCTAAACTGTGTTCCTTAGTATCTCCACCCTGGTTTCAGCCCTGCCCCCTGCTTCCCCTAGGGAAAGAGGTAGGAAAGGCCTGGAGGTAAAGAACCATCACCACCCAAGTTTTCTCAGCCTTAGGAGAGCAGGATGCCTTCTGTTACCATGGTTACCAGAGGCCCCTTCCACTCCCTACCTCCCCCCAGGGGTATCATCAGTAAGCAGGGAGGCCACCGACTTTCCTGAGTCCAACAAGTTGTTTTCTAAGTTGGTACCATCAGAGAACAGGGGCAGATTTCAGGACATTTGGGCCAGTCTCCTTCTGGAGCCCACCTACAAGTGTTGGGTATCTAGGGGAAAAGACCAGTCTTGACTACTTTCAAAGGGTACCCAGAAAGAGCTACATCACTGGTCTGAGAAGGGAGAAAACGGATGTGGTCTCCAGAAGAGTGATGGGATGGAAGGAGCTAAGCAGAGCAGTCCCAGACAGGACTGACAATTCCTTACATCCCAGTACCCTTAGGCATTTTTCTTCTCAAGCCTTCCTTATTTTCTTTCACTCCTCTCTACCCACTGGCTTTCTATCAGGGAAATTCTCTTTTCATGAACATTTACTTGTGCTATGGAAAACAGGAACCCAGTCAACATCCGGCAGCATGATGAAGGCAACAAAACATCATTTAGATTATGTAAACCCATGTGGAAGGGATGTGGGAGGGGGTTGTGTTGGAGAGGGTGGTGGGGAGCGCACAGAGTGGCTCAGAAAACCCCACTGGGCGCCTGCTGCAGTGACAACGTCTTCACACTTCCGATGCTCATCATGAAACAAGCCTGATAATGCTGATCAAAGAGACGGTGTTAGAAAAGCACTTTCTGAGATTTGTGTGGCAGAGGGGAGTTTACTGAGCTGATTTTTTCCCTCAAAAGACTCAGCTGTTTTCTTTAAGAGGGGAAAGAACGGGGGAAAGCAAGTGTAAACAAATCCAGACAGAAGGTCAGAGTTGCTTTCTGTCCATTTTCCTGGGCAGCTGCTAGAATAATCCCAGATTCCCCCCAAACCTCACTCTGAAGCAGATCAAAGCTCTAGAACTTCCCAAGCATTCCCTGCCCTGCAAACTGGTAAGAGAAGACAAATTCTGGTCCAACCAGAGGTGATCTCCAAAGAGGAAAACCTCAGGGACCATGCCTTGTGAAGGCCCAGGTAGAACTCTGCTGCTCAATCACCACGGTTAGGTCTTGAGCACCAGGATAAATGGATTTCAGTAAGTGGGTAAACAATGAAAACATGCACCTCATTACACAATTCGTGAGTATTCACATATATATATACTTCATGAAGTCTAACCTAACCTACTTACTGCCTTAAATATTTTAAAAACACTGATTTAGCAGAAGGGAAAGGCAGGTCAGAAAAGCAAGATGCCAATTTCACATTCTGAGAAGGCAGAAAGTCTGCTCGTGCCCGTCCTCCCCCCCCAACTTGTGGAGTGCTGCGGGTGCTGCTCTAGAGCAAAGGTAGAGAAGGGCTGCAGGCCAGAGCACGATGGGCTGGAGAGACAAAAGCCAAGGCCATGATCCTTTTCACCGCTAGCTTTCTGCTGCCCCAATGCCCAGGGGGGTTCCTTTTCACTCTGCTTTGAGGCACAGGTTTGCCGGTGAAAACTTCAAGGAGCACTCAAACCTCACTTCTGCATGTGGGCACAACAAAATCTGAAAAGCGGGTGGCCCAATTCCCTTATGATTCCCTGCTGACTTGAATTCAAGTTCTCAGTGGATAAACACCTCTCTTCTCCCACTTGGGTTTGAGGGGCTAGCCTTCTTTCAGCATGCTAGGCCTCGGCTCTTCTGGGAACAGAAGCCGCCTTTCAGGAAAGCCCCACCCCCACCCCCAGCCCCAGCCCCATCTCTCTCTCTCCCCTGCAGCTCCCTCTGTCTGCTTCCCTACACCTTTCTAGATTCCAGACGGAAGAGGGGTAACTCCCCAAGGACCTTGTGCTGTTGCTGTGATCCACCAGGCAGACGACCCAAAGAGGGCTCATTGCTCCGCCTGGAGTGGATGCCCAGACTACTTTCTATGCAAACCAGGCCCCAAAGTGGTCGAAATAAAACGTCCTCTCAGTCCTACCAATATGCCAATGGAAATGTGGATGAGAGAAGGGGCAGACCGCCTTGGGCTTAGAAGACCACCCAGAACTTGTAGAGATTAGCTCTGCCCTGAGCAGTCACACAAGAAATGCTCGCTGCCTGGGGGGGGATAAGCAGCAGCGAGGATGGAGAGGAAGCAGCCTCTCCCCTATCACATTCCTGAGAGAATTACAGCCAGGTGGTTCTGGCTGTGTTCTAAAAAAGGGGGACAATGGGACACTTTCCCCGGGGCTGTGAAATTCATTTCTATTTCCACTTTTCTAGTCAGAAAGAGGGCGCAGCAGGGGCCCCAGTCGAGAAAGGCAGTGGCTTTCACCCTTGGAGTAAAGCTCCACGCCCACAGCCGCCGTGTGGAAGCTGCCTAGACAGGAGTGACCAACGAGGAAGCCGGCTTCTGCCCCTGATGCATTTCCAATCCTCTCAGTCCCAGCGAGGGCTTTTCTCTGTACTCAGAAAGATCCTTCACTTGTAAATGGGCCGACTCCTCCACGTGGGACTGAATGTGTATGTCAGATAACTGAAATAGTTTATCATTCATGGATAAGGAGAGTACCTCTAGGGCCCTCCCCTCCACTCTGCTCAGGTACTTAGAATTCTCTCCTGATCCATGAGGCTAAGATACCTCCAAAGAACAATCCAGTATAAGACTCTCCACTTCCTACAACCTCAGTCACCCGAACAGTGGACTGGACAGGTTCCCTTTCCTCAGACTTTGCTTACAGGAATTTCTTTGGTCCGAAAATCTAGGACTTAAGAGCTTTCAGAAGATGAGTCCTGGCTAGAGGCTAGGCTGAGAATGAAGACGACTGCAGTAACACATAACCTGGCTTTTCAAATGCTAAACTTAAGACCAGTGGCTTCTTATGGAAACAAACTTTTATAAAATGCTCTCAAATGCTCCCTTTAGTAAGTATAGCTTGGAAGGTGAGGGAGGGAAAGCCAGGGTCTCAGCTGCCAGGTGAGGGTCTCCAGCCCCAGCGCCCGTGACGCTACCTAAATCACCAGATGGCACACTCCCTCTCTGTTTTCCAGAATGACGCAGCAGCTTTTCGTGTTTAGCACATACATGTCCCAAGAATGACTGTTCTTGAGGCCGGCGTTCCCTAGGAAGGCACACCCTCACTCCCTCCCAACTCCCCGGCAGCTGACGCCATGCAGTAAAAGCAGGTGCCCTGCGGCAGCAGTCACCTGCACAGAAGAAGTTTAAGTGTATTTACAAGTTACAGATGCGTGTCAAAGTTGCTACCTTGGTGTTGCAGGCAGGCATACATCTTCCAAATGCTACATCAGCAGAGGTGGAGTCAGAGAAGAGAAGCCTTCCTTACCACCACAAACAAAGTAAGAAAAGAGAAAAACCAAGCCCCAAGTGTGGAAATGGGGGCAGGTGCTTGGAGATTTTAACCAACCCAAGGACAGAGCATCGCTGCCTTTGTCCTCAGCTCCTGTAGGAGCTATCAGTCTTCCAGAGAAGCTGGTCTGGAGTGAAGCAGGGTCAGCAGCAAGGCCAACGTCAATCAAGAACAAACTTTTCCCTTTTTCTGGACCAGCTCTCACCGTCTGAATCCCAGGGAGGCTGACGTTTGAGGTCACTAAGCACAGGGACTCGATCACACAGTGTTTCAGCAGATGGGCTATTGCTGTTGGCAGGACCCGCACCTGCTACGAACCTGAGCTGGGTATTTCTGCTGACACTGCTCATCTTTATCAGAGGGAAATCGTAAGGGACGCAGGGAAGCTGGGCTTTGGGAGAAGCCAAGGACCCTGGCTCTTGAGCCAGCTAGCCTCGACATAGGGAGGGATCCCTGAGCTAACGGTGGAGGCCACGTGCTCAAGGCTGCTGGGACTCCCCTGTCCTCTTGCCGATTCTGGTGACCGCCTCAGATGCTTGTTCCGGTAACTGCGATGGGTCCGTGAGGATGGACGTTGTCGTGCTCAGCTGGCGGAGGGTGACCAAAACCACTAGGAGAGAAGAGGGGACCACAAGGAGGCGGGGAATTAGCTAGCTCAGTGACACAACACTTAACCTTTTTTCTCCCAGCACCTGCACCTATCCTGGAAATGCTTCCCTCCCTGGCTGGGGTCAGGCGACATCTGGACTCTCCATTCCCTGGAGCATAAACCAAACCCACACTCACTTGGCCTGAGAACAGGGAGGGAGCAGTGCTGGTCCAGCCACGAGAGCGCGCTCTGATGGAGCTCGTGCAAGTTGGTGGTTGATACCATGCCCTTGAATGACTCAAACAACGGTTTGATTATGATGCTGAACTGCCCAGCACATGAGTTAAGGGAAAAATGAGAATGAAGAAGGTTTAGGGACCATCTATCGCACCTCCTCCCAACTCCTGGCATGTTTCCCTCTAATCCATTACTGACCGCTCCTGGAATGGCAGCCAACACTATGCAAGAGAGGGTTAGAGAGGACTTGGGTTTGGCATCAGAGGGTCACACATCTAGAACCTGGAGGGGACCTTAGAGCTCATCCAGCCCCTCACTTTACTTATTCATTTTTTGGGGGCTAGGCAATGGGATTAAGTGACTTGCCCAGGGTCACACGGCTACTAGGTGTCAAGTATCTGAGGCTGGATTTGAACTCAGGTCCTCCTGATTCCAGGGCCAGTGATCTATCCACTGTGCCACCTAGCAGCCCCGAGCCCCTCATTTTAAAGGTGAAAAAAATAAAGACCCGGAGAGATGAAATGACTTGCCTTAGGAAGGGGCAGAAACAGGATTTGAAATCATGCCCCCCAGCTCCAAGTGTAGCATTTGTAGCTCAGGGCTCATCCCACTGTACTACACTGCCTTCTATGTAAACAAAGCCAAGGTTTGACCAAAATGTCTTCCTCCATTTGGTTTCTATGCATCTTAGATTCTGTAACTGATGGGCAGAAGCCATCAAATTAATTCGGGGTAGCTCGTGGCACAAATCAAATAATAAAAAATGCTCCTCCTCTACTGGTACTCTGCCCACTGGCTACAAAATGCTCAAGTCTTCCTTTACCTAAAATAGAAGTCTTTCCCTTGATCCTGCCCTTCTTTCAAGCCATCCTCCTGTCTCTCCTCCCTCTCTAACTGCTCCATTTCTAGAGGCTGCTACACCCTCGGCCTCCACTGCTTTACACCATGCAACATGGCTTCAAACTCTACCACTCTACTGACATTGCTTTCTAGGTCACCAGACTCCTCCTACTTGCCAAATTCAGTGACTTTTCCTCACTCGCTGTTCCTGACCTTCCTACTGCATCTGAATGCTGACCATCCCCTCCTTTTGGATACTCTCTCTTCCCTTGGTTTTCTAAAGATACCACTCTCTCTCTCACCTGGTTCCCTTCTCTACATAACCACAAATCCTTAGTCTCCTTCACTCGTCATCTTTGTCTGTCCCCGAAATTCGAGTAGCCTTGAAGACTCTTTTCCTGGGTCCTTCTCTTCTTCTTTTTCAATACTCTTTCCATTATCACTTAATTCACTGCTATGGAACTAATTATGACCTCTCTGCAGGTGACATTCGAATTCATAAATCTAGTCTAAATCTCCTCCCTCAACTCCAGTCCCCTATCTCCAAATGATGACTGGATACCTCTACCTAGATGCCCATTGACATTTTAACTGCTAGGTCCTATAGGTTCTTTATCCCGGGTCATTTTCTCATTGCTGATGCCACTGGCACCCTAGTTCAGATACTCATCATCTTCCCATCATCTCTTACAATAGCCTTCTAACTGGCCTCTCTAACTTCTCCCCCTAGAATCCATCTTCAACCCAGCTGCCAAAGAAAGCTTTATGACAATGTCACGATCTTTTTTTTTGGACAATGTCATGATCTCGTTCAAAAATATTAAGGAGATGCCTACTGAATCACAAACTTTAAAAATGAGAAGGGTATATGGCATGTCTTAGCAGCCAAGCCCAATCTACATCAGAAAAATAACCCCACAACATCCTCAGCAGGTAGCTCAATATCTCTGCTCAGCTGTTTGCATCCTGTTTCCCCATTCCATGACGAGCTGGTTGACAGCAGGGACTGTTTTCTGATTTGCCTCTTTGCATCCCCAGTACTTGGCACATAGAAGGCACTTAATAAATGCATTTTGATAGACTCTACTTAAAGACTTCCAATAAGGGGGGCCTCACTCCCTCCAACAGTGATAACAGTCCTTTCCTGTTGTGCCCAGCTTAAAATGAATCTTTTCTACCTTAAATGTACCCTAAGAACTTAATCTGGATCGATTCTATGACATTCTCCTTTGAATGATACCCATTAGAACATATAGCATGTCATCTTCCATTTGATATAAACTTGAGGGCAGGGACTATGTCACTGTTTTTTTTAATTAGGCACTATGTGTATACATACATACACATATAGATTTGCTGATCTGACTTGAGATAGGGCAGTTAAACCTTACAGGGACACCTGTCAAACAGAGTGACTTCTATTTCTGACACAAGACCTATACGGGGACCTCATATCTGTGACGCTGTGTCGTTGTGACCACTACAGAATTTAAGTTCTGTGAAGGGAGGGTTGTTTTTTTCAACGTTAAGTAGTTAGTCTAAAAGAATGCAGAAAGTTAGGTAGGCAGCGTGTGCTGTTTTACTGAAGAGAATACTGACTCAATTTGATTGCTTGATGACTAAAACAACAGTACATGGCGCCCCATGAATAAACCAAAGTAAACTGAGTAGTGAAACTAAAGTCAGTACTTATCTGTTCTTTCAAATTGCCTTATGTGTATAACTTGCCACCACACAGATTGGTCCTGATTAAGGCTCTCAGGAGGCCTATCGCTTCAGAGGATCAGCACCCAAACCACTGAGAAGGTAGCTTGCTACTCCTCCTGCAGACGTCCCAGAGGCAGAAGCCGCGCGGCCTGGAGACGTCTGGCGGCCCCAGCCTGCCATCCGTGCTTCCCAGTCGCCTCCTTCTACCCTGGGCCCCACCTCCCTAGCCAAGCCTCATGGTCTTCAAGCTGGGGAGTGATGACTAGCACAGGGTTCATGTTTTGAGGGCCAAAACAGCCGCTTAACTGGCCCTCCGGTCCACAGCAGCGTTCAGCCTGTGGACCCGGACACCTCCCCCAAAATGACAGAAGTGGACGAGACGGTCCCTGTGAGTCCTAAGTCCTATGATCCTCTGAGCTGAACCTCATGAGGGTCAAGAGCCTTCACAAGCGATGACTTCAGACTAACCCCCGCCACTGGAACAGGGAACCCGAGGACCCTCTCACAAATCCCAGGCCAGGCCACTATACTCTGTCACACAGGGACAGCGGAGTTAATGATTTTGATAAGCTCAATGACAACAAACAACTGTTGGGGATGCTTCTGAAGGAAACGAAGTGTCATTTTCCTGTGATTTTCCCCACCCTAGTAGATTCTGATTGGGCCCAGGATGAAAACAAAAGATACAATCCAGAACTTCCAATTCTGTAGGGTCTGACTTTTTACATAATCATCAAACATGTCCCGCATGTGATCATACTGGCGGCGAGTAACAGGCACTCCCGTGGCAGGGAGCTGCTGCTGACAGGAGCTGAAATGACAAGGCCAGAAATATGATGCGTAATTCTGAGCAGGACCCCTGAGCTCAGGCATCCTCCCACTTTCCAACGTTCGAGATCCTGAAGGGAGACACTGTCGGGCCCCACCACGCCTGGTGTCTCACATGATGGTGGCGTTGAGCTCCTCAATCTCCTCCCGGAGGCGCCGTGCTTCCTCCTGCATCTGGCTCCTCTCCTGCTGAAGCTTGGCAATGTACTCTACTGTCTTCTGCAGGGTGATGGCATGGGTGGTCTGCAAAAGGGAAAAGTCAGCTCCACAGCAAGCCCAGGGACAGAGGCAAGGGCAAAAGGCTCCCTCCTGTCCACACTTCCAAGAGCCACCCCTATAGTCCCAGCCAACTCACCAGCTTGCAGTTGTTAGAGATCAAACTGTTTAAGGTTCCAAAGCCAATCTTAATGTTGAACCGTCTCTTCTGTTCAGCTGAAATGTGCTTCATCCTCCGGCTCTGAGTGAGGAAGCAAATGCATCACACCTGGCCACACCAGGCCCCCTCTGGGGTCATAACCCGTACTTACTGCTTCATATTTTAATGCGATCAACCTTACGTAGAAGTTAGTTGCACATGTTACCCAAAGCCCCCTGCAAGCTCTTGGTAAGAATATTGCACTTGGGAGGAAAATTAGGAAAAAATCCAACCCACTGATGTCATCAGGAAGCCAGGATTCATTTCATAAACACTGCAACAAAGTGGAAGAGACCAGAACTGCTGGTGTCTAACTCTTCTCTGGCTCTTACCAAAAGATAAAATCCTCAGCAAATGTCACCTCACTTCTCATAAAACAGATGGGGCAGTTCCGAAGCCTCAATCGACAGGCATTTAGTAAGTGTTTACTATGTGCCAGGTACTGTGCTAAAGCACTGTGAATGCAAAGAGAGGCAATAATGTGGTCTTGGCTCTCAAGGAGTTCACGTCCTTAAAGGCGATAACAGAGGAACAATTATGCACAGGGTGGATAGGGGGCTGAGAAAGGCTCTTGCAGAAAGTGGGATGCACTGAGTCTTGAAGGAAGCCGGGAGGCAAAGGTGAGGAGGGAGAACATTGCAAGCATCAGAGACAGCCAGACAGAGCGTTAAATGTAAGAACAGCAAGGTGGCCAGTGCTGGCAGGTTGTCGAGTACGCAGAGTGGAATCAAGCGTAAGAAGACCAGACGGGAGAGAAGGGAGGACTGCCCATCTGCCTCTGGAGCCACCAAGGCTTAGAGAGTCGGGGTGACAGTCAGGCCTGCCCGTCACCACCAGTGAATGAGTGCTGGAGAACCTTTTAAACAGCAGTTGGCAGAAGTCCACTCAGCTGTCTTTCTGGCAGATGAAAGAGGATGACACAGGGAAGCTAGGATGCTGCAGCTCTCAAGACTTGCTGAGGCTGTCTAGCCCCCCTCCCTAGTCTAGCCCCAGAGTGTGGATTCAGGACACACAGGTGCCTCTGGCCTTTTCGCCGCTTTCTCCCTTCCACCATCTCCAAAGGGACCCCAAACCAGAGAATGAGGTACCTTGAATGCAGCCACATTTGGGGGGTCTGTAGTGGATTTCCCTGAGCAGTTCTGGGGAGACTGAGGACTGGGACTTTGTTCTGATGCACAAGGAGAGGCCTGACCAGAGTTCGGACAGTCTCGGCCTGAAAAGGAAGAATATAAACTCCTCTTAGAAATTGAACCCAACATACCGATCCCACCGTTCCGGAGAGCAACTTGGAACTATGCCCAAAAGACTATGAAACCATGCATACTCTGACCAAGCAATGCCACTGCTAGGTCAGTATCCCAAAGAGGCAAAAAAACAAAAAAGAAAAGGACCTATATGTACAAAAATGTCTATAGCAGCTGTTTTTGTGGTGGCCAAGAATTGGAAATTGAGGGGGATGCCCATCAATTGGGAACAAGTTGTTGTATATGATTGTGATATGACAGTATTGTGCTATAAGAAATGACGAGCGGGCAGATTTCAGAAAAACATGAAAAGACTTAGATGAACTGAGGCAAAGTGAATGAGCAAAATCTACAGTTAACAGCAATACTGTACTATGACCAACTGTGAATGACTTAGTTCTCAGCAATACAACGATGCAAGACAATTTTGAAGAACTTACAATGAAAAATGCTATCCATCTCCAGTGAAAGAACTGATGGAGTCTGAATGCAGACTGAAGCATACTTTTTCTTTATTTTTTTTTTTTTTTGGTCTGTGTCTTCTTTCACAACATGACAAACATGGAAATATGTCTTGCATGACTGCATGTGTGTAACCTATATCAAACTGCATGCCTTCTCAATGAGAAGGGAAGAAAGGAGAGAACTTGGAACTCAAAAAAAAAATTGTAAATGAATGTTAAAAATTGCTTTTACATGTAATTGAAGGAAAATAAAATGCTAAATTTAAATTTTAAAAAATGCAAGACTATCTCATGAGGAGGAAAAAAAGAAAAAGAAATGGAACCCAAACACTTCAGCAAACAGTGAATGAAAGGGCTCTCTACCCACTATCATAAAGCTTCCAAGCCTCCAAGTAAATCAAACACTTACAATAATTTTAAACACCATAAGATCTGTCAATTCATGAAGACTCTACCTTGCTCTCAACCAGAGATTGAAGAATACAAAAGTATGGAGTCCTATACTTGATGAAAAAATGGTTTCCAATGGGCCCAGAAGAAGGCCTGCCTTCATGTAAATCCAAAAGAGCTGCCAAGGTAACAGAAATTCAGTCTGAACTCTGGCTCTGACAATCCAAGTAACAGCTGACATGTATGTATCACTTACGTCATAAAGCACTATACAGATGCTGTCTCATTTAATGCCATGATATCCTTGAGGTAGTTAAGTATTTGTCTTTAGGAACAATCTAGGTTTCCCAGATCCCTTAATCACACTTGTCCACAATGAAATCCACATGTGACATTCTTGCCCCATTTTTACAACCTTGAGAACTTTCTACAGTTTGATCTTATCAGCTTGCCATTTTACTAATCTAAAAGTTCCATTAGGTACAAACACAAATAGAAGGAATTGAACTCTTGGTCATGGATAGAGTGTGCCAACGCTAGTAAAAAACAAAAAACAAAAGAAAAAAACCCATATATTTTCCTGGCGTTAGAGAGCTTTAAACTGAAAAAGAAGGAAGGTGAAAAGAACACATATGTATGCACGTATACGTCCACTGAGCTACATTCCATAGAGAACAGCTACAAACGCAGGGAGCAAGGACAATGAAGGCATGCAGAAGCTGACGGGAGACCACCAAACACATGGCCTCAGTTACACATATAAAACACACAAATATGGTGAACTAAAGATTTTTGACACTAGGCAACAAATCTGACTTCACATATATCATGGAAGAGTGATAGGATAGGACCCATTATTACAATGTGGCTCTGGAAGGGTAAGCCTGATTCAAATAAAACAGGAGAGGTTAAAAGAGAGGCAGTAACATTGTATATGAAAAAGATTCACTCGTGTGAAGAAAGCTAGGAACCAAAGGGCGGAAGCTTCGTGGAGAATATTTAAGTGAAGATAAAGAAAAACATCAATAGAAGTAATGTTGTCATCAGGGCACAGTGGAAACCACCTGGACAGAAAAAGGAAATTGACAAATAGATGAGTTTGGGGAAATGATGACAAGCTTAAAGCAAGAGTGATAGAATCATGATGGGGATTCAATTATCTGGATGCCTGGTGAGGGGCTCTTTTCCTGCCAAAGGAAGAAGACCTTAAAATTTCTTGCCCTGCTTTAAAAATGTCAACCTCGAAAAAAATGGAGAAATGACTAAGGAGGGACTGTTTTTTTGGACCTGATCATCACCATGAAGGAGAACTAACTGCTTGGCTGAAATAATGGGAACCTTAAGGAGATAGGAGACTCTACTTTGAAATCTGTGACAGGGGAGAGGAAAGCAAGCAACAGATTGTTAAAGAACAAAACCTTAAAAAAAAATTTTTTTTCAATTATCAAGCAATTATTTTTTTCTTCCTCTCAACTCCCCTCTCCCCAATAAAAAAAGAAAAACAGAACAGTTCTATCATCCGGTTATAGTTAAGCAAAACAAATTCCCACACTGGTCACATCCAAAAATTGTGTTTCTCATTTTGTCTATTAAGTCCATCACCTTCTGTCCATGAGGTCAGCATTCTTCAACAGTCTCTGAAAGAAGAGACTTTAAGAGGCTCAGGGAAAAGCTAAGTAGGATTCCACAGCCTAAACCCTTTCAGAGGAAGCCAGGCCAGTAAGGGATGGTAAGCTATCAAGAATGAAATTCGGAAAGACAAAGTGAAACAATTTTGATAAGGAAGGGGGGGACTTGCCTAAAAATGAGATGGGATGATAATAACACAAAACACAGAGAAGGCAGAAATTGTCAATGCTTCTGTTTTATCTGTTAAGGAGAACGGCTTTTGGAACGGAAAGGATGGAACAGGACTGGCTAAGAGGGAACTGAAACCCAATAAACAGAGAGATAAAAACAACACCAAGCTGTTCTTCATTAGTCCAGGCAAACGACATTCCACAGCACTGAAAGTACTGACTCGTGAGACTGATGTGAAGGGAACAGGGCAGAAACTGGGGAATGGCAAATGTTCCAATTTCAAAGAAGGTAAGAGAGCAGAGTCAGAAAAGTATGGGCCGGTGAGAGCTCTGACTTCAATTTCTGGCAATATTCTAGGATATACAATAATAAAAAGAGAAAGATAGTTAACAGCCACAAACGTTTGTCCTTGTGATCCCAAGAAGCTGGCAAGCAAGACATTATCAAGAATAGATTTTGCCAGACTCTCATTTTCTTTTCTGATAGGGTTACTAGACTGACAGATCAAAGAGAGTTTTGTAACTAGGTTTACCTAGATTATAAAAAATCACTGGACAAAGTCTATTATGCTCTTGTTAAGATGACAGAGACGTGGGCTGGAAAATTGTACAATTAGGTGAAATATGAGCTCATTGAATGGACAGAACCCAAGAAGTCACTAAGAGTTTACTATTTTTTGTTACAAAGCATAGCTCCCAGGACAGGGGTGGGCAAAGGGACATTTTTCGAGATAAAAGTGAGGTAAAAACAGAAAATTTCATGACATCATGGAAGTAGGTCCCTAGTGAATTTTTTTATGAATCTGTCCTTGGTCTTCTGATATCTGTGTTAGGATTTAATATGTATTTTTTAAAAATCTGCAAATCACATGTAACAAGTTCATGGTTTCATATACAGCAATCTTATTTTGTTTTTCTATCGAAATGGACATGTCTGTTGATGATTAAGTTCACAATAAAAAAGAAAATTTTAAATTAAAAAAAACAAAAAAACCCCTCAAAAAACCACCAACTCTGTATCCTGGGAAAAAAGGTCTAAGTTGTATGTTGATCAAACTTGTAGATGACACAAAAGTAGGAGAGTGAGCTAATGTACTACTAGGTGACAGAATCAGGATTTTACAACTTCTCAACAGACTAGAATAGAGACTGTTAAATAAGATGGAATTTAATAGGCACCAAGACTTTCAAAAATAATTTTACCAATACAAAATAGAGGAGGGACATGGGTAGAGGGAGTTCATCTAAAAGATGTGGGGGTTTTAATGGCCTACAGGATCACTGAGTTAAAAGTGTGACACAGCAGCCAAACATGCCGATGCAGTCTTAGGCTACGGTGAGAGAGGCAGCAGGGTGAAATGCTAAGACAACTTTCAGTCCCCTTGGGTTCAGTCGGCAGCTGTGAGTTTCCAGTGAAAGTGACAAAGTGCTGTCAGAGTCAGAAAGGACGACGCATGCAGGAAAGAGAAAAAGAAAGGATCGAAGGACTCCGTTTGCCTAAAAAATATACTTACAATAAATGATGATGTTGTAATGGAAGAGTTTAAAGAGATAGCAATTGCGGTAGCCGTCTGGAGAAGTCAAAAAGAAAACAGACTGATCAAAGATCAAGATGATGATTCACAAGTGGAGGTGGATAGTAAAAGAATCCAAAAAAAAAAAAAAAAAAAAAAAAGCTGTTAAGAGCAGCAGTGTCAAACTCAAATAGAAATGGATCCCTACAGGCCACAGCAGAGAAACTTAGAAAACCACCACAAACTAACATTATCTACAATGTATTTTTTTAATCATTTCCCAATTACACTTTAATCCTGCTCTGGCAGTACTCCAGCGAGTCTGACACCTCTGCTTTCCACCACCAGCAGGTACAGGGGAAAAAGCACAGGCTCTGAAGGCAGAGGACCTGGGTTCAAATCCTGTCTCTGATGCTCACTTCCTGGGTGGCCACATCTGTAAAACGAGAGCGCTGGCCTTAGAAGTCCTTTCTAGCTCTCAGTCTACGCTCCTATGGCAGCACTGTGTGGATGAACCTGAAGCAGAGGAAAAAACTAAAGGCAAAATGGAGGAAAGGAAAAAGTGAAACAAAAGCTTTGGCCTGGGAGATACTATTCGGAAGGGTGTATTTTATTATTACATTTCTTTCCATGAACAAAAATCACTTTTCTTTAAATCCCACCCTTCCCCCACCATCGAGAGGGGGAAAAAAATACAAAACCTTTCTAACAAACAAGCATAGTCAAACAAAATAAATTCCCACATTAGCCATGTCCAAAAAACCCAGAAGACCCACGTTCAAATCCAGCCTCAGAGACTCACTAGTCCTGAGACCTTGGGCAAGTCACTTCACCTGTTTGCCTCAGTTTCCCTATCTATAAAACAAAGATAGTAACAGCACCCTACCTCTCAGCATTGTCATTAGGATCAAATGAGATTAAAAATTATAAAGTGCTTAGCACAGCGCCTGGCACACAGTACATGGTATACAAATGTTAGCTGCTGCTGCTACTATTACTTTTATTGTCCATCACCTCTCTCTCAGGAGGTGAGGAGCACGTTTCCTCATCAGTCATCTGGACTCATGGTTAGCCACTGCATCAATGAATGTCGTCAAGGCTTTCAAGATGATTTGTTTTTATAGTGTTGTTACCACTGTTCTCCTGGTTCTGCTCACTTCATCCTGCATCCCTTTATACAAGTCTTCTCAAGTTTCAATGAAACTGACCTGTCCCGTCATTTCTTACGGCCTAATGGAATTCTGTAACATCTACAGGCCATGATTAGTTCAGCCAGTCCCCACCTGACGCACATCTCTTCAGTTTCTAGTTTTTCACTAAAACAAAAAGAGCTACCAATATGTGTGTACATATAGGTCCTTGTCCTCTTTCTTTGAATCCTGGAGACTCTTAAGAACTAGGAAAAAAAAAACCACACAGACACGTTTGTCAGAATATGTACTCTGAGCTGGACGGAAAGCAGGCCACTCAGTTCCAACATATCCACTCCCACAAAACCCTGATGTTTGCACCAGACCAAACAGCGACCAAGAAATCCAATGAGAAACTACAGTAAATGATTTCTTCCATCCCTAAAGCACACAAGAAGTCAGCCAGAAGCCGAGCTCACTCTGGGTTCTGGGTCGGACTTCTGCCTGCTGTGCTGAGGGTCTCCTGGGTCTCTGCAGTTCGGAGCTCTTGATCTTCAGAACTCTCCTCGGCATCTCAGAAGAGTAAGGGCGTCAGAGCCCACAAGCCTGACACTGCAGAACTCTGCCTGGTGACAGTTACAGCTTCAAAGAGCCCCACTCTGGGACTTTGGACCGTCCTGGGGTTTTCTCACGGAAGCCCTCCATTCCTGCTGCCTCTTGACACAAAGCCTTGTAGCTGACATGTGTTCTGTCTCTGTCATACTGGCCCTGGCTTTGCTGTAGGCACCCCACTTCCCATCTGTTTAGGAGTCAGCTTCTGGCTGAAAGGAGTGGGGTGGTCACATCCAAACAATTTGGTTTGGACCCAGATCTAGCTCAACAGGGAAACAGGGAGTGAAGATTAGGGGCAGGGTGGGGAAGGAGGAGAATAATACCAAGGAGCAAACAACTGAAAGCAAAACAAATTTCCTAACTGTGGAAAGTTGGGGAGGAGGTGGGGAAGAGAAAAGAACTAGAATCTACGGGGGTGCCTTGGATGGCTGAACAAATTGGTATACAAAGGTAAGGGGATGTTATTTTGCTTCGATGAAGTAAGCTATCCAGCTCCTAAGAGAGACGTGATGAATACAAGGTCCAGAAACACACATTCTTGGACAAGGCCACTGTAAGGATCTGTTTTGACCGTGCTTATTTGTTACAAAGACTTTTTTTTTCTCTCAGCTTATACATGGGGGGAAGGCGAGAAGTATGTTGAAGAAACGGAGCTTAGCAACACTAAGGGCAAAAAGGGGGACATCGTAACATTTTCTAAATGCATAAAAGAGAACAGAAGGTTGTTCAGAAGGGAGAACAGACAAGGAGGACAGTCTGAAAGCAATGTGTAGAATTCATTATATCCTTTAGAAAAGAAAGCACAAGATATATGCAGTAGAGATTCAGTTTACACAGATCCATCTTTGGTGTTCTGCTAAATGTATGGAAATGTTCTTTTTTTCGGTGTTTCAGTTCAGAATCTAAGCGCCCTGGCCACCTACTTAAACTGAAACACAGATCTATACCCCCCCCCAGGGGCTTCCTTCAGGAAAGACTTCATTTTTTGTTGTAGCAAAGGAAAGAGCTGGCTGCTCTAACTTTTATTTAATTTTGTAAATATCAATGTTTTGTCTAACAGAACATTATTCTGAGCAGGGGAATATAGGCTTCCTGAGACTTCAAGAGGGGTACATGACACAAAAAGTGTTAAGAACTCCTTTTTAGAAGAAGGCTAACAAGTCGAAAAGTGAAAGTTCAAAAGATCATGCTATCTAAGGATCTGCGCAAGAACTGGAAACGCGTAACTTGGAAAAAAAGATGTGAAGGAACAAGATAGCTATCCTCTGAAGGGTTTAAAGACAAACTGTTCCATAGCTAAGACTCATTCTGGTTGGCCCCAGAGGTCAGAGCTAGATGCGTATAGCTGGGAATGGCAAAGAGGCAGCTTGAGGCTTGGCGTAAGGAACAGCTCCCTGACAATCCAAGGTGTCCGCAGACGGATCAGACTGCTTCAGGATGTCGCTACAGAGATCGAGAAGCCAAAGTGATAGGACCACGTCAGATACACTGTAGAGGGAATTAAAGTTCAGGCTGGACAACAGCCTCCAATCAAGCATCATCTATTAAGTGCCTACGGTGTACCTGGCACGGTGCTAAGCACTGGGGATACAAAAAGAGGCAAAAGACAGTCCCTGCCCTCAAGGAGCTTACAATCTCATGGGGCAGACAACAAGCTATATCCAGGAAAAACAGGAAATAATTAACAGAGGGAAGGCACTAGAGTTTAGAGGGGCAGGAAAAGTCTTCCTATAGAAGGCAGGATTTAGCTGACCTTTGAAGGAAGCAAGGGAAGCATTCCAGACATCCCAGGGGGACAACCAGAGATATGAAGTGTCTCATTCCTGGAACAGCAAGCTGGTCAGTGACACTGGACCCAAGATTATGTGGTGGGGAGTAAGGGATAAGAAGACTGGAAAAGCAGGAAGGGGGCCCCTAATCTTTCTCATTCTTAGATCTGACCGTTGGGCCTCTGCTCAGAAAAGTCCAATGGCTGCTTTCCTACCCACTAACTTGCCAGGCATTGCAAGCCCTGCACAATCAAGACCCGCCTTTCCAGCCTTATTTTACTGTCTTAGAATCAAAGATCCACAGCTGGGCAGGACCTCAGAACACCCAGTTCACTCTACCTGCTTCACAAACAGGGAAGTTAAGTGATCTGCCCAAGGTCACAGAGGCTTTCTGCTGTACCAAGGTATGGAAAATGTTCCAAAGTGGTCTGTGCCTTAGCCAGCGCTGTATTTTTCCACCTCTGTGCCTTTTCTGATCCTTGTCCCCTATGCCTGGAATGTCCCACTTCACTAAAGGTTCACTCAAATGCCCCCTCCACTTCTGCAAAGAAGGATGGTGAAGCACAAGACGAGAGACAGAATTTTTCTTACCTCTTGGCAATTTACCACTTCCTCTGCCCCAACCTCTTGGACTTCACAAAATACTTTTATACCTCTCGAAGGTATTACGGATCATGACTAAACCTGACGAGGGTAAGAACTGTATCTTATCTAAACTTACAGAGAAGTAAATGTCAGACATTGTCAAACCAGAGACATAAATGCTTGGTTTTTTTAAATTTTATCTTATTTATCTTCACCCATAACTTAAGGGGTCTGCTTCCCCTCAAATTAAACACTCACTGGAAGACGGAGAAGCAATCTGGGAACCACCTCCGTGAAGTGAGATCTGCTCGCGCTTCACCAAAGAGTCTTGCAGCACAGCACTCGGGGAGAAGAGCCGGGAGGCTGGGGATGGCTGGCTACTAGCAGCATGGCCAAGGTCTGCAGCAACCAGGATGCCACTATGGAACTCAGTGACGCCAGGAGCCTGCAACAACAGTGAGATGGATGTTACTTATCTACGGAGCCAATCTTCAGACCAGTTTGCTGCCTGCTGACTGGTGCATGCCAGAGAGGGGAAGACTGGTTAATCCTAATGGCAAGGGACCTAGTGACCCTGGAGTGGGATGGGATGAGAGGTGTCCTTGGAAAAAGGATACTTTAGAGTAACCAGGAGACCAAAAGGGAGGGGATCTCCTAGCATCCACCGCCCCCTGCCCCCTTCTCCCGTGACAAAGAGAGCCTGCTTTCCTCACCCTGGCGATGACCACATTGGGCTGGGACATAGTAGAGGTCAATACCCCTTCTCTCTTCAGAGGGCCAGGGGTCACAATCACCGCTTGGGGTTGTCTTGAAAAGGCAGCTGAAGAACAAAGAGGAGATTAGGCTGAAGGCCTCAGAGCCCAGCAGGCACAGCAAGGACTAGCACGGGAAGGTCAGGACAGCCAAACTACAAAGAGCCACCATGTCACTTCAGTCACTGCCCATACCAAGGGCATAAAACAAACAAGTCCTGCCCATCTCCCACATCTGACGGATCCCTCCCTGAGACAAGGCTCAGGAAGATAGCTCCCAGGACCCCTAGAATAGCTTATATACCTTTACCCTGTGCTCCCACAAACCCAAAGAACCGGAGCTTCATTTGTGCGCGTCAAGAAGGTCCTACATTCGTTTATCTATCTTACTCACCTGGGGCGATATAAGCATTCTTTAACAGCAAAGACACGGGCTCAGGTTTTAGAGCAGGCACTATTTTAGGGGGTGGCTTGGCTCGCCCACTAGCCAAGGGCACAGATTTAGGGTGGGCAAAAGTCAGGCGAGACTGGGCTGGCCCAATGGCTGGAGGCACTGTCAGGCTACAGGGTGGTCCTGGTGGGGCTGCCTGCTGTGCAGTTAGCACAAGGCCCTGGCTCTGGCTGAAAGTAGCTGCAGAGGCATCAGGCGTGAGTGTAGCCGAGGCTGTGTGGGTGATGACCGAGGATGACTTGCCAACCCCAAATTTCTGTGACTGCAGAAAAGGAGATGGAGCCTGGGCATTCAGAGGGGCCCCCGGAGGGGGCACTAACGGCATTGCAGGTGAAGACGGTGTTGGTGCTGGGCCGGGAGAGAGCAGGGAACCTGGAAATACTGGGAGGAAAGTCTGTGGACCACTCAGGGGTGGCTCTGGGCTACCAAAGTCTGTGGGCTGAATGAAAGGGCCCCCGAGTCGGGGCCCATGCTCACAGCTCCGCCTTTCCGTGGGGCTTAGGGAGGCTGGCCCTGGTGGGACAATGAGGCCGTCAGGGAAGCTCATGGTGGGCAGAGTGCCCCCTGATAGGACAGGCCCCTGAGGAAAAAAACAGAGAACACCAGAGTTAAAGAGCTCTTCAGCTTCATCAGCTTCTGATACAATGTAAGCTCCAAGAACCTCAACTGAGACCCCAAAGGATTCAATTCCTGCGAGACAGAATAAAGGTGAAGATATCCACACACATTACCGCCAATCTAGGGGAGTAATGTCTGTCTTAATTTCCCCAGATGATCCCAACAGAGGCCGGACTCCAAAATGGAGCCTGGAGAGAAAAGAAAATCAGCAACAAAAAATACTTCCACAATTCTGGAGGATCTTAACACTCTGAAGATTATGAGTTTCCCACAGATCCTCCTCTTCTTTTATATGATGGGAGAATTAAGATTAACGGGGGCATACCGGGTCTTCTGGGATACTGGCATGTGTCTGGCTCTACAGATGTCCCATATCCCCAAAGGTGGGAACAAGTGATAAAGATTTCACAACCCCATCCTCCCAAGATAAGCTCTGCCCAAGGCTAGAGGGGAATCTCCAGTTGGTCAAAAATAAGGGAAAGAAATAAACCGAATCCACATCTTCTAGCCATTCCAGACACCCTAGCTCAGGGGAATGCACAAGTATTCCTAAACCTGGAACCAGATCATACTCCACTTCCCACCTCACACATGTAAAAGGAAAGTTCATAATAATTCCTTGCAACATCTAAAAGTGCTTTACTTATAAATCATAGTCATAACGGTTATGCCCCTGGCACAAGCCTGCAGACAAATTCCTGGACATGCACACCCCTACCTGCGCTGGTGGACTGCTGGGGTCTGTTGCAGCTGAAGCAGCAGGTCCAGCAAGCATAGGGCCAAAGACGGAGCGGCTAGATGAGAACAGGTCTGAAAGACAAGGTCAGGGCCCTTCAAGTCCCAAAGCCCCAGCCAGCCTCTGAGGTCAGAAATGCTAGGCCTCCCCTCACCCAGAGTGGTAACAGGGAGTAGAAGCTGCTCACCCTCTCTGGGGCAGCTTCCTTACTACGGAACCAGTCCCTGACGGCCTGCCAGGGCTCACTCAGAACAACCCCCACGACCCCATGGTTCAATTGCTCTTCAGGTTCAAGGATCAAGGGCTTATTTTGAGACATCCCAGCTGGGCTAGGCCTGTCACCAGTGCCCTCTGCTGCACAGACAGAGAACTGTCCACAGCCAGAGCCAAGGCTGGGGCTCAGGGAAGGAAGGAGAGAAGCCAAGGCCCAGCCAAGACCAGACACACATCTTCTCCCCATCAGTACCACCGAAAAAGGACTAACACGGGAAAGGATACCCCCTATTACTCATGAACAGCTCAAAGTCACCTCAGTTTTCACAGTACTCTGGACTTAACCACTTGTTTGACTCCTCTAGGAATTACAAAGAGAGGTGTGACCATGACTTGAAGGGGGCCAGGCCCCCTTCTCTGCTCCATGTGCTTACCCTGGAAAGGTTCAAATGTGTCCATGAAGTCAAAGTTTGGTTGTAGAGGGATTAGCCCTGGCTGGATCATGTCTGCATTTCCCAAATGTGCTACAAGAAGGCAGAAAGGAGAAAGGAGCTAAATCGGGCTGCTCAGTCAATGGTACAACAGTGTAGAGAAGGCTGGAGGAACAACCAGTGAGGCTAGGGCACACCTCCTTTGAACGTTGTTGAGCCTTCCTCATAAAAAGCAAGGGAGTAAATCTGCACAGCTTTCTTCAAAAGAGTTTGCTTCACCCTCACTAGAGCATGGGCTACTCTCTGCATTGTTGTTGTTTTGAAAAGTTTAGGTCTCCCTATCTCACTTAGGCTAGAAGTGCAGGGCTACCTCCCTACTCTGATGGACAAAGGAGCTTTGACCTGCTGTTTCCAATCTGGACTGGCTCCCTTAGGCAGCCTGAGGGGATCATAATCCCAGGGACTCACCATATCAATACTAAACTTAGTTCAGATACACCTGCTAGATTTAGCCCAGTACAGCTGAGATCCCCCACATACTGATTCTCACCCTGTGTCTAACCAAAAAGCAGAAAAAATGTATGACACCAATGTCATGAGGTCCAAAGAATATACTATGGATTTGCTTTAGATTCTCCTGAACAGATAACATGGTATAATCACTGACACCTAAGCATAATTGATAACATTTGGGTAGAAGGGGAGCTCTTTCGGGACAGGGATTACTCCGCCTTTGTCTGTGTATCCTCAGCACCTAACAGGGCCTGGCCCACAGCCAGAACTCTCTACATGCTCGATGAACTGAACTGAACAGCAGAAATGCCACAGGGGGTCAAGCCAATTGCCCATCTAGCTCAGTATTCAGTCTCTAGTGGTGGCACCAAACAAACACTGACTGGTCTCCAAAAGTTAGGCATATACCACCAAAGAGACCCTGAGGGAGTGAGGCAAAGTTCATTAACTAAACTTGGAATAGAAAGTGACTCAGACTGCAGGGAAACAAGTGAAGTCCTCAATCACTGGGGAAACAGACTGAAGTTACCTATTTCCCTTGGGTTGGGCCAGGCCACTGGCTGATGCGATGAAAGAGTGGAAAAGAGGGTGTCACTGAATTCTGACATGAGCATGTCTGTGTCCAAGAGTGGATCTTCTTCCATGGGGACTGGGGTGTCCCACCCATCCCCACTCTTATGCCAGAAAAGCAGGTCATCATCCTACCCCCATAGGAAGCAGAAAGAAAACAAGAGGGTTTAAAAAAAAAAAAAAGGAAATATAACCTTGAATTCTTAACTACAGGGTATCAAGAAGCCTCCTCTAGTCACCTGAGGAGTGTGAGACAAGAGTTGCTGATAAAGACCCTGTTGTTTTAAATTAGAAGAAAGTCAGTCAATAAATATTTATTAAGTACCGCTTACGTGCCAGGCACTGTGCAAAGCACTTTACAAATATTATCTCATTTGATCCTTGTCACAACCCTGGGAGACAGGTATTGTTATCTCCATTTTACAGTTTAGGAAACTGAGGCAGCCAGATTAAATTATATGCCCAGGGTCACAAAACTAGTAAGTGTCTAAGGCTGAATTTGAACTCAGGCATTCCTGCCTCTAGGCCCAGTGACGGGCAAATTTTGAGTCTCCAGGTCCTGTTTTTAAAAGAGCAAGTAGCCTAGCAATGATGATGATGAAAACAACAGCAATTCATATTTATATGGTACCATATAATTTGTAACTGGTTTCCTCCCAATTCTTCCTATTAATAAGTGATACGTCGTGCTCTGGTGCCCCCTGCTAAGCCACCTAATTCACTCTTCTCCCAGTCCAAGCCCAGACGAGCTCGGTCAAAGGTGGCCGAAAGAGTGACTGGCTTGGATGGTGCCCTGTGCAGGCTTAATTCAGCTTCCCAGAGGTTCACTCACCCGGACCAGGCTGGAAAGGTCCTCGTCCTTGTGCTTCTGGAGCTGTGGAGAAAGGGACACCCAAGTTACCAAAGATTTCATGTGAGAGTAGGATGTGTCTTATGCCACTGGTACTGAGATAGGTTTCTCTGTCTGTAGGATGTTCCGTCGCTGTCCAGATACACATTTTCTCTGGGAGAAAGGGAGCAGGGAGTCTCAGCCCCATGTCAGAGGCAAGGAGACTGAGGAACAAAAGGATGGGGTCCAGGTGGCCCGTTCTAGCACAAATAGGTTCTCAGCACCACATACTCGGCTCTGCTTAGCCAGGGCAGCGTTTTCCAAATCAAACTACTTTGGAAAATGATTCAATGTGTTGGTGACCTGCTCTTTGATGGCTGGCTCAAGGAGTAACAGAAACCAAGAAGAAGATGGGACAAAGTGGAATGAGTAAGAATCCATTTGTAAGTTTAAAGATTTTGACAGACATGTTGGGAGCCTGTAAACATCTGTCACAGCTCACTGCCAGTCCACCGACTAGCAGCTGGAAGACAGTGCTGGGGTGCGGCATCAGATGCCATCCAGCCCCACCTCTGGGAGAAAGCCTCCACTACGTTCTCTCTGGTGCCAAGGACAGATACCCTTTTCTTGAAGTATGTTCTCCACTTGTGATATTCCCTGATCACAATCTCAATCCGCCGTTTCCAGTACTTCCCTTCTGTGGTGATGGCCTGGAATGTGGACAAGGCAAAGGAGATGTCAGAGGCAGAGACTACATCAGTGTTAAGACAGGACAAAAATGAAAACGTTCAATACCCTGCAAAGGCCAGGAGAGGGAGGCTGAGCACCTGGCCCTTGGCTGTGATATTTCACACTCACAACATCATCCACAAGATACTTCCTTATCTCTCAGGTCACAAAAGCCCTGAGAAGTGAAAGGTGAAGACTGTGGCTTTGTGCTTCTATTTCAGGTCCCATCAAAACTAGAGGGGCCCAGAAGGAAAGAAAGAGTTTTAAAGGCACTGGAGGAAGCGCACAGAAGATTTAGCAAATGCTTACAGTACAAGTGAACGCTCCTTCCAACTCTTAAAATCAGGTAGGTTCTAAAGAAACTCAAGCATCACTGCAGAGGCGCCCCATGTACCCAGTGCTGAAGAGTGCCCCAATGCTCCCCCACATTCCCCACAAGGCGATTTTCCCCAAAGCACCTCTGGCCGGCGATGCTCATCCACTTCCACAGAGCCATCCAAGGGAGTCACAAAGTGGCACACAGGATTCTTCCGTTTCTCTAAGTCTAGGGGGAAGAAGGGAAGAAACTGCAACTCTACCAAAGATTTCAGCATGCCCCGTCCCACCCAGGCTGGCTGCTCTCTCCCTTACGCTTGAGTCCCTCCTTAGCTATCTTCCCTGTTAAACTTGGAGAGGTACGAGAAGTAGAGATCAGAGGAAAAGTGCCTAAAAACAATACCTGGACACAGGAGGGAGCCCAGCTCATTCAAGGAGCCACTAGCGTGACACAAATGCACTGCTATGCCCTAGTCTCCAAAGTATAAGTCTGCGGAACGATAGGGATCCAAACCAGCTGGGAGATGGTATCTGTCCTTACATCCTCAGGCTCACCTTCTTGCCTTGGTTTTACCTCTGGGTTTCTTGTTTCCAGGGACTACCTAGGAGAAGGGGAACACTCTCCAAAAACAATGCCCTCATGGATCTTTTCTACAGAGTGAAATTCTGGATGAAGAATTCCCAGTAGGGATCTGACATCTGCCAGAATTATCCTGGTCTCCTCTTCTAAGAAGCCCTCAGGCCTCTTGCTTTGGTAGGCACTTACACTGCATATACCATGCCCGCCAGATGGCATTGTTGAGCCGGATCTTGTCTCTCCATTGCAGCTTCAGTCCTTTGAAGTTCTTCCACTTTGGAGATACCAATTTTCCACTGAAAAGGAAAAACAGGAACTCAATGGTTTCCATGAAAATGATGTAGTCAATCAGAAGACTGCAAAAGCTACCCCTCCACGAACACATGACACAGGATCAGCCTGAGTGCAAGCTACCCAGCTCTGGCTCCGACCACTGGGGCAGACACCTGCCTCGGGCCCAAATGGACAGGTCCCTCCAGACACTGAAGTCTGTGAGCATGGCTTTCTTAGTCCATTGATATTTCCCTAGGTTATGCTTACAGACCAAGGAGACACAAGGCAAAAGAAAGCTCACCTGAGCTCTAGGCCACAAGTGTCACCTCTGAAAACAGATCTTTCTTCTTATGGTTGATGCATGAGGAAGAGAAGGGCAAGAGAAAACATGAGCAAAAGCTCTTCATTGGACACCACCATCTGTTAAATGGCACCCATGGGATCCCAGAACACCCTTTCTCCAAACACAAAGAATGACTCAGGAAAGCAAATTCTCAGCTGTTCCACCTACTTGGGCATGGCAAGGAAAAACTGCCATCCAGCATTTGTTTTAAAACAAGCTACTGATGAACATTAACTACACTCGAAAATTCAGTTTCTATTGAAGACCCTACATGAAACTTATCACCTCCTCTCAAGACAATATAAATCATATATAGCAGAGGAAGAAACTAGCAGTGGTAAGGCCAACCACTGTCTGACAATTTCTACCTCTACTCATGAGAGAAGTATGTTTCCAAGAACTAGCTGATTGATGGCAAGGCCCTGATGGCACCAGTGGACGCAGCACGCAGATATATCTGAAAACACTTACTTTTTCCTCCTGACTCTATGGGTGCCCAGAAGTAGCACCCCAACTCTTCATCACTCATGAGGGTCTCCTTCACGACCCTATCCACCTGAGAGAAGCATCCTCTGGCATCCAGAGCAAAAGACCAGTAGCAGCAAGGCCTGGCCCTATCTGCAAATCTCTATTCTCCCCCTCAGCGTCCTCTTCCCAGAAAAACGTGGTGCAAATGTACCAGACAACTGGACTGTTGATGAACCGTGCCAGATTTGTGTAGATAAACAACTTCTCTATTAGAATTAGAATGCAAATTTGAGAGCAGTGATGGCTTTATTTGTTTTAACATCTCAGTGCCTAACACAATGCCTGCCACAGAGGTGTTATCCTGACTGCAGCTCCACAATATCTGAAATATTTCTTTCTGGCTGCTTGCAGCATTTTCTCCTTGACCTGGGAGCTCTGGAATTTGGCTGTAATATTACTGGGAGTTTTCATTTGGGGATGTCTTTCTGTGTGACTGTGTAGGAAGTTCCTTCACCTCTCTAGATGCCAGAGTCTTCATCTGGAAAGAAGGCTGTGACAGAAGATTCTCCACTCTCTCCCATATAAAGAGGTGGCCAGACAGATTGAAGGTCTTTCTAGTTCAAACATTCCAGAAATTATTTAACCCTTATGCAAACCACCGGTCCCAAGTACAGAACATCCAGGGAGTGCTGAAGTCATTTGTAACTGGCTCCCACTGTTATTCCCAAGAGTGTATTTACATCTCAGAGATGGGTAAACACTACAAATCAGGGCTAGATTTATTGTTGTGTTGACTATCTAGATTTAAGAAAAGTGATGGCTGCAGGGAAGAAGATGTTGCAGGGGCAGAGCCAAGGGGGTGGAGAAAGCAGGGACGTGTGTGAGCTGTCCCAAACTCCCCTCCAAACAACTTCAAAAAGAATTCTGGAGTGGCAGAACCTACAAGAGGACAGGGTGAAACAATTTTCTAGCCCAAGACAATTTGGAAGGTTGGCAGGAAAGGTCTGTCACACCAAAGAGCGGAACTCAGACCAGCACAGGCTGGGCCCCAGCAGGCCTTGGGGGCAACTGAATCAGTAGCAGCAACAGCAGTGGCTTCCAGAGCTCTAGCCCACAGACAGTAAATGGATTGGACAACTGCTCAGAAAGATATTTCAGAGGTCCCTGAGCCGGCACTGGGTACAGGACCCTGTTGCACTGTCTATACACGGATCCATGTCATAGTCCTGGGTTGCGGTCTCAAGACAAGGCGCTAGCATACCAGAACTTGCAGCTGCAGGGAAACAGAAACCTTAGACACAGTTCCAGGGCAGAAAAGAGTGTTTATGATCCCTCACAGACCAGAATACAGGCCAGGAGAGTAGGAAACCCATCTCTCCTAAGATTATATCACCGTGGAAGAACCGAAAACTTACAGACTCTCAGTACTAACTCTGAAAACAGCTGCACAAAAAATTTAAGGCTTGGGACAGTGCTGGGAGCAGAGGCCAACTTTTAACATCAAGTTAGAAGTCAAGAAGTAGACTAGAAAAATGAGCAAACAACAAAAAAGAACCTAACCACAGAAAGTTACCACGGTGACACAGAAGATCAAAACACAAACTCAAAAGAAGACAACAAAGTCAAAACTACTACCTCCAAAGTCTCCAAGAAAAATCTGAATTGTTCTCAGGCCCAAAAGAATTCCTGAAAGGGCTCAAAAAGGGATTTTAAAAATCAAATAAGAGAAGTAAAGGACAACTTGGGAAAAGAAATGAGAGTAAAGCAAGAAAATCATGAAAAAAGAGCCAATAGCTTGGTAAAAGAAGTACAAAAAATACTGAAGAAAATCAACACCTTAAAAAAATAGAATAGGTCAAATGGTAAAAGGCACAAAAATCCAATGAAGAGAAGAACTCCTTAAAAAGCAGAACCGGCCACATGGAAAAGGGAGTACAAAAGCTCACTGAAGAAAATACTTCCTTAATAAATAGAATAGGCAAGTGGAAGCTAACGACTCCACAAGACATCAAGAAACAATAAAACCAAGTCAAAAGAATGAAAAAACAGAAGAAAATGTGATATATCTCATTGAAGAAACAACAGACCTGGAAAATAGATCAAAGAGATAATTTAAGGATTATTGGACTACCTGAAAGCCATGATTAAAAAAAAAAAAGGCATCATCTTTCAAGAAATTATCAAGGAAAAATGCCCTGATATTCTACAATCAGAGGGTAAAATAGAAACTGAAAGAACCCACCAATCACCTCCTGAAAGAGATGCCAAAATGAAAACTCGAAAGAATATTACAGCCAAATTCCAGAGCTCCCAGGTCAAGGAGAAAATACTGCAAGCAGCCAGAAACAATTCAAATATTGTGGAGCCATGGTAAGGATAACACAAGAGCAGCTTCTACATTAAAGGATTAGAGGGCTTGGGATATGATATTTTGGAGAGCAAAGGAACTAGGGTTACAACCAAGAATCACCTACCCAGCAAAAGTGAGCATAATCCTTGGGGGGTGGGGGTGGGGAATGGACATTCAATGGAATCCAGGACTATCAAGCATTCCTGATGAAAAGATCAGAGCTGAATAGAAAATTGGATTTTCAAATACAAGACTCAAGAGAATCTCAAAAATGTAAACAGGAAAGAAAAATCACAAAGGATTCAATAAGGTTAAACTGTTTACATTCCTATATGGGAAAATGATACTTGTAACTACTAAAAACTTTATCATTATTAGGGTAGTTAGAAGGAGTATACATTGACAGATGACATGGGTGTGAGCTGAATATGACAGGTTAATTGTTTAAAAAGTAAAATTAAAGGGTGAGAAAGAGGAATGCACTGGAAGAAGGGGAAGGGAGAAGAATCGGATAAATTATCTCATATAAAAGACGCATGAAAGAGCTTTTACAGTGGAGGGAGAGATGGGGGAAATGGGCGGGAGCATATGAGCTTTACTCTCATCTGAACTGGCTCAAAGAGGGAATATCATACAAACTCAGGTATAGAAATCTTTTTTACTCTACAAGCAAGTGAGGGGGGAAGGGGGGGCTGATATAAGGGAAGGCAGATTGGGGGAGGTAGTAGTCAAAAGCAAACCACTTTTGAGGATGGACAGGGTGCAAAGAGAGAGAGTAGTATAAATGAGGAAAAACAGGATGGAGGGAAATACACTATAACCTTAAGTGTGAAAATTTTTTTACAGCAAGTGTCTCTGATAAAGGCCTCATTATTCAAACATATGGAGAACTAGGTCAAATTTATAAAAATAAAAGCTATTCTCTAACTGATAAATAGTCAAAGTATATGAACAGGCCTTTTTTAAGATGAAGTAATCAAAGCTATCTAAATCATGTGAAAAAAATTAGAGAAATGCAAATTAAAGCAACTCTGAGTACCACCTCACACCTGTCAAATTGACTAATATAACAGAAAAGGAAAATGACAAATGTTGGAGGGGATGTGGGAAAACTGAGACATTAATGCTCTGTTGATGGAGTTGTGAACTGATCCCACCATTCTGGAAAGCAATTTGGAACTATGCCCAAAGGGCTATAAAACCATGCACATACCCTTTGACCCAGCAACATCACCATTATGTCTGTATACCAGAAATAAAAAACAAAAAGGAAAAGGACCTATATGTAAAAATAAATAAATAAATAAATTATAGCAGCTCTTTTTGTGGTGGCAAAGAATTGAAAATTGAAGGAATGCCCATCAATTGGGGAATGGCTAAACAAACTGTGGCATATGATTGTGCTGTAAGAAATGATGAGCAGGAAGCTTTCACAAAAACCTGAAAACACTTATACTGATACAAAGTGAAGTGAGCAGAACCAAGGAAACATTGTATATAGTAATGGTAATACTGTATGATGATGACCAACTGTGAATGACTCAGCTACACTCAGTAATGCAAAGATCCAAGAAATTCCCTCCCACCTTTTTTTTTTAAAGACTGAAGGACTTAGGATGAAAAATGCTATTCATCTCCAGAGAAAGAACAGATGAGGTCTGAATGCAGATCAAAGTATACTTTTTAAAAAAACTTTATTTTTCTTGCTGGCCTTCTCAATGATGGGAGAGGTGAGAGAGGGAAGGAAAGAATTTGGAACTCAATTTTTAAAAACAAATTTTAAAAATGGTTTTTTACATGTAATTGAGAATAAATTATTAAATACATACATATAAAATGTATATAAAAGAAATGTATATAAA